TGAATCTTGGCATCTTGGGGGACTAGTCTTTACTTCTTGATTGGGGATACCTTGGGAACCTAAAAATATAAAAGGCAAACAAAAAAAGTTTGTCAAAAAATGGGTGAAAGAAAATTAGATAGATGAAAAAAAATTCACTGAAAACTAGAAAAATGCATTTGATTACCAGATTTCATTGACACTTGGATCGTATCTTTTATAGTCATCAATTGATGGATCAAAATTTCATGGAGAGGCAAAGACAATGACAATTTGAAACTAGAGAGTTCCTTAGCCACTTGTAGCATTGATGGTCTGAACTTCGGTTTGGAACACAAACATGCCAATGTTATTGCTACCACAAGCATTATATCTTGAGCATCTTTTTGAAAGCGAGGAAGGGGAAGACGTGAATCCAAGAGATCTTTCAACAACATGTTTTGAGTAGTTGGGTTTGATAAAGATGAGATTAGCTCTCCAGGATGCCTTCCCATTAATGTTTCTAAAGCTACCACTCCAAAACTATAAACATCACATTTTTCTGTCACAATGAATGTGTAGGCAAGCTCTGTAATGGACCGAAGAAATAAAAAAAAATTAACTAAACTTTTCAAAATTGTATTATTAAATTAATTCTAGGGAGTTAAATAGAGTTTGCTTGTAATATAAATTAACACTTTACCTGGGGCAATATAGCCATATGTGCCAACTACCAAGGTTTGATTTGAAGAATCGGGATCAAGGAGTCTAGCAGTGCCAAAGTCTGAGACAAATGCCTCTAATTGTGAGTTTAACAAAACATTGCTACTTGTTACATCTCGATGAATAATTGGTGGGGTACAGTCATGGTGCATGTAGGACAAAGCATGTGCCATTCCTTTAATGATATTCACCCTTTTACTCCAATTCAACTCCTTAGCTTCTACGTCATTATTCAAGACATAAAATAAGCTACCTTTTTCCATGTATTGATAGACTAGAAACATGCATCGATTGTGGAGGCAAAAACCATGAAGCTTTACAATATTTTTATGACGAATTTCTGTTAACATCTTGACTTCATTGCGAAAACTTTTGTCAAAAGATGGATTTTGAGATTCCATTTGGTGTAGTTTCTTCAATGCAACAATTTTGCCATTCGGCAATTGAGCTCTATAGACACTACCATATGCACCAGTCCCAATGCAATACTTGATGTGAAAGTCCTCGGTTGCTTCAATGATATCTTCAAATGCAATTTTTCCATCATAGTTCCATATAGAAAACAAGTCTCCATTCTTTGCTAATCCTCCTTCAACTTTGGTTCTAGACTTGCTTCTTGTGAAATATAAGGCTAGAAGAATTACACAAAGAATGATAAAGATGATAGGGAAAATAATTACAATGATAGGCTTAGTTTTACTAGTTGGAGAATTGGTTTGGATTTGGAGGGAAGGATCACAAGATGCAAAATTTGGTGGGTTGTGACTGATTAGTGAGCTTGTTGGGAAAGAACAATAATTTGGTAAGTGTGACTTCAAGGTCTTGTGAATAGTCAAAAGAGTTGTATGAAAGATTTATATATGATAGAGTAGCAAGTGCCGTGTGTAGTTTTCCTGTGAAATTATTATAACTAAGATCCAACCAATTTAGCATGGAGTTCGTTCCCAAATGAGATGGAATCTCACCACTAAAAAAGTTGTGACTAAGGTCAAGGTAATTTACACAAGCAATTTGGGAAGATATACTTCCATTTAGCAAGTTGTGACTTAAATCAATTGTTGTCATAGAGGGACATTTCATCATCTCTAGTGGGATTGGGCCACATAACTGATTTGATGAGAGATATAAAGAACGCAGATTGTCCATTTGAAAAAGTTTTAGAGGTATTAAACCAGACATCTTATTATGTGAAAGATGTAAACAGTCTAAATTGGACAAATTCCCAAGTTCTAGTGGTATGTGACCTTCTATTTGGTTAGAATCAAGAAAAAGATCCGTCAAATTCTTCAATTTACCCAAAGAAGGAGGAATTGAACCAGTAAGTAAATTGTTTGATAGAAATAACTTTTCTAAACATTTTAAATTTCCAAATTCCACTGGTATGGGACCTTGAATATGGTTAGAATCAAGGAAAAGAATAGTCAAATTCTCTAACTGACCCAAAGTAGAAGGGATTGAACCGTTGAGTAAATTGTTTGAAAGATAAAATTCTTTCAATTGTGTTAAGTTCCCCAGTTCTGTTGGTATGGTTCCTTCAAGTCGGTTGAACGAAAGAAGGAGATACTGCAAATTCTTCAATTTACCCAAAGTAGAAGGAATTGAACCCGTTAGTGAATTATTATAAAGACACAAATCCACTAATTGTGTCAAATTTCCTACTTGGACCGGTATTGAACCTGCAATTTGGTAAGAAACAAAGAGAAGAAATATGAGATTCTGGGATTGACAGAATTTGAAAGGGACAATGCAAGCAAAAGAATTGGCAGTTCTGAAAGTATTTTAGGCAGAAATTTACCATGAAGATGATTATGGGTTAGATAAAGATAGGTAAGGTTTTTAAGTGTGGTTACTTCTGTTGGAAAGCTTCCTGTAAGACCCATTCCATATAGATCTAGAACGACTAAATTGGGGAAGGCAGTGAGGTTCAAGTTCTGAATCCGCCGCAATTCTTTGGATGGAGGATCATATAGATCTATCTCTGTAACACTTCCAGCTTCATTACAAGTAATACCTACCCATTCACAATGGCGTGAGATACTTAGGTTATGGTTCCACCAACCGCTCTGGAGCAAAGCATGTCGTTCCTCATTTATGGATGACAAATTAGAAGAAATTGGCATGCTGCTACCAATAAGATATGAATGTGATTGTAGCATCATAATTACTAATAAACTGCAAACACACTTTGCCATTCTTTATTCAAATGGCTTCAATAACTGATCAACTTTCTTATATGCTATTCAACCTGGAACTAATTAACTTGTATATATAATAGTGGCCAAAGGACCTTTCAATCTTTTCCAGTGAGGAAAATGGATGTCAAAAGACACGGATTTGGCCGAAGGAATTGTGAAATAATTGGTTGTGGAAAGATAGAATGAAGGTGTATTTGTTTTCATATATATTTAAAAAAGTTTCATATCACTTCAGAGTTGAGATTAAAAAATTTATAAACATTTTTGTTCTTTAATCTACCGAAACTCTTTTTCAAAAGACAAAATCATTACGTTCTAATGATTTGAAATAATATTCTTAATGGCCGACCTAGGAAAAAACCCTAGTCCACCCCCTGGCCGGAACACTTATTAATTGCAGTTTTGTTTGAGAAGAATTAAAAAAGTGAAAAATGCAGGCACGCCTTTCATATTAAAAGAAAGGGCGTGCATTTTTCACATTTATAAACAATGAAATAATGAGACTTGGTCAAAGAAAAAGCACAACTTCTGTTACAATACAAGCCCATACACGAGTCTGACACAGACACACAGTGGATCTTCCCTCATTTATACCGAGCCGTCACCACCGCACCCTTTTTAATTAAGCAACTGCCCAGATTTATGCGTCAAATTGCCAAAACACGCAAAAGAAAAGAAAAGAAAAAACTAATAAGCTTCTGCGAAACTACAAATTATTTGAAAAAACCAAAACTGTGCATTCCTTAGCATTAAACTAAGCATAAGTGCTGATACAATACGGCTCTTACTCATCGCAGATATAAAATATAAGCTGAAACCGTCACACACACATATATATATATATATATACACGATTTTTTAATAAAGCAATTTGGCAGCTTGGATTTCTATATCCTCAAAGTCCCAAACCCCCTTAGGAATTTGATAATCTCATTAAAAATACTGCAAAAAAACTAATTAATCGATTATTCAAATCGTTCAAACTAGCTAAACCCATGATGAGACCAAAAGTCATAACAAGGTAGATAGATAGATAACTAGTTTATTTATGTTCAAACTTTAAGAGTTAAGAACAAAATAGATCATGACTCTCGGAAAAGGTGTTCTTCTCCAGATTGTTGATCTATGTGCTTGATCCATCGGCTAGGAGCCTTCGAAGAAGTTGGTGGTGGTGGAAGAGTTCTACTACCACTTCCTATGTATGCAATATCCAAACCCTTGCCAACAGGGAGGAAAACCGACCTAACCACACGCACACCCCTTTGGAGAACCACGCTCCATCTGAAGCCGCCACAAGAGTTTCTGTGCCATGCATTCTTGCATGCCAAAACAGCACCTCTTGGACTCACCTTTGCCACCCTCAGAACCCTAGCGAACTCCCTCCGCCTGCAGTCCACCACCAGGAAGTCCAGCCCCGAGAGCCGCGCCACCGCCGCCTCCGCCTCCCCGGCCACCACCTCCGCCGGCGCCGACACCCCCGCCTCCGCCAGGGCCTTCGTGTACTGCAACCTTGAACGCTCGTCCGGGACTATGCACACGTGCCTTGCACCCGTGTTGCGAGCTGCAACTGCTAGGCCTACGCTCGCGGCTATGGCGCCGCCGTAGGACCATGACTCCACTATGAACTTTGTGTTCCACCCTGCTGCCATGGCTGATAGCAACTCAGCTACCCCGGTTTCCTTCAATTTCTCACACTGCAAACATCAACTTCATCAAAATATATCCATCCGTTTGTTGCTATCTTTTTCCATGAAAACTTACAAAATTTTAATAGGTTGCATAAACACAAAACAACATACTCTTTAGACATATCTCACAAAATTGACTTGTAAGATAAAAATTGTATACCAACAAAATAAAATCAAACATATTTGACAAAACAAGGCAAGAAAATAGGATCAGACCTATCTAATAAAATTGACTTGTAGTAAGGAAGTAGGGCTAGAGACAATTTACATGATAAAGAAGAAAGAATAAGAAAAGTAAAATCAAATTTTTTTATATCATTTTTAATGATAAAAGATATGATTGTTGGTGTTTAGGGTGCTTATGCTTACTGATTTAACTGTGTCTATGTAAGCTTTCAAGGCATCTTCGGGAGACCAAACGAGCTTCATGGTGTGTACTGTTGTGTCTTCTTAATTTCTTTCTGTGTTTATCACTTTTCTGGGTCTGGATTTTGATATATGTTATGTCAAGGTGAATGAATAGGGGTACAGTTTGACGTACGGGGTAGAGTTAGGTGTGTGTGTTGATAAAATGGTGTTGATGATGTTATATACGAAGAGAAAGAGATAAAGAGAGAGAGAGAGGTGTCAGATATGAGAGAGCGTTGACATTGCCTCGCGCAATTTGAACGTGTGGATTCGGCCCAAGGAAATAAATAATTCACATACATGCATTGAATAATGTTATGCATCTTTTAATAATTAATATACATATTTATCATATTTATTGTTTATTTACATTTGAATTTTTGCTTTTTCTAGCTCGCTTACCTTAATTATTAGAATTGTTACTAAAATATGTGCATTAAGTGTTGCTACTATGAGGAAATTATTAGCAGGAGATGATAAATAACCCCATAGCTTCCAGCAGCTGCGGATTAAATTTCTTCTTGTCCTTTTCTTTGTTCTCATTGCTTTTATTTTTATTTTTTTGGTGAACTTTTATTCGGTTGATGCATACTGTATGTTAAAATAAACTATTTTTTTCTTAGTGTAACTTAATTTCTTGCCTCTTTTCAAACATATTTATTAATATTTTTCTATTTTTTTATGAAATGCCTTATGTATTTTATCAAGAGACATGATAAGGCTCATATACACCAGATCATATCATCATACAAAGAATAACATAACTTATAACTCTATTTTTACTTCTAGATTTACGCGTCGTTAAAAGTATTTAATGGTAAGAGGTAACACTCTTATCATTACAGTCAGTGATCAAAGACTCACATGAAAGGACTACGATTTGTGTAATTAAGATTGTAAGAAACGCGTAATATATTGTCACATTTGGACAAGTGGAAAATAAACTACTTAATTTTTTAAAATTTAAATATATTTTAATTCTTATAAAATGTAAGAATTTTGATTTTCACCTTAACAAAAAAATTTCTTTAATTTATTTTTCATCCTTCTCAAATTTATAATTTTTCATTCTTGTAAAATGAACAAATTTTGATTATAATCATTGTATAATATTTTCTTTAATTTTCATCATTTTAAAATCTAAAATCGCTATTTTTTTAATCTTTAACAATTATTTTAAGATAAATAAATAATATTTATTTTAAGAATTTATAAAAATAAATAAATAAAAGGTGCCATGCGTTAATCACATTGTATCCTTAACAACTGTGAAAAACACACAACTAGTTAAAATTAATAACATAGTAGTAGGAACTAGAAACAATAGTTCTACATGTTAATGAATGAAAAAAAATAGAGGGACTTGAATTAAAATTTATTTACTTTTCAAGAATTAAAAAAAATTAAGACTTAAATATGTTTTTAGTCCCTCAAATTTAAGATAAATTTATTTTTGTTCCTTCAAATTTAAAATTATTATTTTTAATCCTTTAATTTTTAAAAATCTTATTTTAGTCTCTCAAATTACTAATAACATATCTAAAAATAACAAATTAAGATAGTTATGCAATATCAATTAGATTTAATGTGATGTTTTCACTAACAAAAATACCAATAAATAGATTTTATACAATAATGTTTAATAAATTTCCTAATAAAATTTAAATATAAGGACTAAAATAAATTTTTTTAAAATTACACAGAATAAAAATAGTAACTTTAAATTTAAAGAATCAAAAACAAATTCATATTAAATTTAAGGAACTAAAAACATATTTAACTAAAAAATTAAAAATATATCAAATTGTATCCGTTTAACTTAGCATACATGTGCTTCCCAAATTGTTCACCATCTAGCGAAAAAAGACTAGTTGAATGTTAAGAATGTCAAGGTTCCCACTCCAAGTTCATGAAAAAATTATTAGTGATATTCTTTTTAACATATTTTTCTTAACACCTTTTATTATTAACTAAATTTTATTAAAAAAATCATAAATTTAGTGATTTTGTATTTCATCAGATGAATCTCTCTTAATTTAATGATAAAATTTGTCAAATTATATATTTTTAAAAATTTTTAATAAATAATAGAAAGTGTTTGTTAACACTTCTCTCAAGTTCGTATTTATAAAAATAAATTGCTATTTTTTTCTAATTTATCCTAAGTAAAAATTAATAAATTTCAACAATATCATAAAGGATATTTAATTTAAACATAAAAAAATATTAACTATTTTAAAATACATAATTAATTACATTAATCATGTTTATGGGTTTGTTTAATGAGTTAATCATTAATACACTACCAGTGTAAAGTTTTTTTTATACTAACAACCAATCAGATCTTTTAAATTATTTTATTTTATTCTTATTTCATTATATAAGTAACTGACATGACACTGTTAAAAAATCTGATTAGTTATCAGTGTAAAAAAACTTTACACTAACAATATATAGATGATTAACTCTTATTTAATCTACATTTATAATAAGTCAAAATCTATTTTTTATTGTTATAGTTGAAAATGAGTTTTACTTTTTTAATTACTGCACATTGGTGTTGACTAATGGAAGGAGAGTGGCTGTGAACAAAAACATTTCACAATTTACAGTAAAAAAGAAAAAACTCTTATATATATTAAAAATAAATGTTAATTTATACGAGAATATTTTTAAAAGTTTTCTTTGATTAGAGAATCTTTAAAGATTTTTTTAATTTTTTATATAATTTAATTTTTATTTATCGTTATTATTTATTAATTAAATTATTAATAAATCAAAATAATCTTGTATTAATTACAGTATAATTTGATATGATAAATCTAACACGGGACTTCAAATAGATAAAATATCTTTTCAATTTGAATTTTCTACGTTGGATTCTGATCCATTGATTAAATGATGTAAGTCTCTCATTGATCCAAATTAATATTAATTATATATATATATAAGAATTAAACATTTAATATGTGCATTCCAATGCTGAAATGCTAGTTATTTTGAAGAACTAACTTTATTGCAAAAATACTCCAATAATAGGCGATACCACAAAAGCAAGTCAACAACCAAAACCACAAGTCAAGGGCGGCTAAAGAACTTCAAGTTTGCAGAATGTAACCGCTAGGGTTGGATTCTCACTTCTCAACTTGAAGCATCTTCTTTTTAATTTTTTTAATACATAAATTAATGCAATTTTTCAACCGATAGTAAAAATTTCTTTTCATGTGTAAATTTTGAGATGTTAAAATTACTCAAGTTATCTCATTCAGCAAAGTCTTTTCCTTCTATGCATTGTCAAAAAATTGAATCTTTATCAAATATTAAATAACTCATATATATCTTGTTCATTACATAAAACATCTATGGATGATATGATGGTACCAATAACCAAAATGTTCATGCTATGCTATATATCATTTGGTAAAAGACAAAATTAAGGAGTGTTGGACAATAAATTTTAGGGGAAGAAAAATTTGTAAAAGTATTACAGTAATTATCCGGTGTCATTGAAGATATGTAAGAAAAGAAGAAAGAAAAAAATGAGAAGAAAATCATATATTTCTATCTTATTCAAAAAAAAATTTACTATAATTAATATTGAAATAATTTTTTTTTCTCAATGATGTTTTGAGAAAATATTTATAAACAATTTTATAAATAAAAAGATATTTTTTTTTTGTGAAATATATTGAAAATGACAACGTATTATTAGGCCAACTTCAAAGGTTTTGCTCCTCTGATGTTTTAAGATTGTCCTTTCTATATATAGTCAACTTAATATCCAAATAATTGATGAAAAAATAAACAAATTTCAAATTATCATAAACTAACTCATAGAAATCTTTATATATAGGAAAATATAAAAAAGAGAAATAAACCATAAAACTTATTACTATATTTATTCAATTTATTTAGATGAAATTTTTCTGAATTTTCAACTACAAGAAAATTGAGGAGAAGACCAAAAAAAAAAAGTAAAGTAAAATGTATAAAATTTAATTAGCCATGTGCATTTAGGTATACCAATAGAGTGAGAGTATGAAAGATGAAGAAAAAAATTGATGAGTGGATGAAAATGTAATAACAAAGAACATGAATATGAAATGAAGTGATGTGAAGAAAACTTTGTAAAGATTATAACTTATAAAACATTATAACTAACTTTAGTGATAAATGAAAATAAATATATAATACATATTGTAATTAAAAAAATATTTAATTAAATCATCGAAACAATTTGTATAATGACATATATTAACATGCAAATGAACAGGAAAAAATGTAGAGATTATCCTTCCTTTAATATATAGATAGATGTAGAAATAAATAATATATATAAATAGATAGATTATGAGTGTATCCCTACATTAACCTAATGTTTTCAGGGTTCCAACTATGTATGCTTTTAATCTAGGACAATTCATACAAAATTTGAAGGGAAAAAAAAAAATCAATGCATTACAGAAGCAGTGAGTCGGCATAATTAACTAGGCTAGCTCGATTCAAGATCAGAAGAAAGCAAAGTAACTATATTATAATTTAACAAGTTGCAAAAGGTGAGACATCATATTGGTCACAATCATCTACAAATATCAATCTTAAAATATTATTCTTTCTGTTTCTTACTCAATTTCGTCTACTGATATTAATGTGTGGTTGACAGCGAAAGCTAAGACATACAAAAAAAATATTAACTTACACACATATATTATTTTAAAATTAAAATAAATCTAAATTTCATAATCAAGAAAAGCCTCTAGAAGAAATATAGTAACATATGATACTATTTATGATGGAACAGATTTGTATAGCTTGGTCACTCACAACCCCACTTACTAGATTTCAGACTTTTTTTTTTAACAAAATGGTACATTTGTTAATCTCACACATTATTTTAATAAGTATCAAAATAATATTCTGTTCAGATAAGATAGTGATGAAAAATGAAGATTTGACAATCATCAGTATAAGATAAACTTATCAACGGTGGAAATTGTGGATGAAGGAAATAGGGAGGGTTTTTATAGTTTTGTGTCGACTTAAAATTGGACACTAATAATAAAAAATTTATTACGCAATATCAGCTCATTTGATTGCCACTTGGTCGTTGCAAATACTCAACAGTTAAAATATAATTATTTATTGTTATTTTAGTTCATATATATATATATATATATTATTTGTAATTTTAGACTAATGTGATAGTCAATTTATATTTTTAATGATTTATTTAATATTTTTTAA